GCAGGCGGAGGAGGTGGCGCAGCAGAAGGCACTGGCGCAGGAGGAGGCCGAGAGGCAGAAGGAGGACGCGGAGCGCGAGGCCCGCAAGCGCGCCAACGCCGAGCGCGCGGCGCTGCGGCAGAAGGAGGCGGCCGAGGAGGAGCTGGAGAAGCAGCGCGCCCTGGCCGAGGGCACGGCGCAGCAGCGGCTGGCGGCCGAGCAGGAGCTGATCCGGCTGAAGGCGCAGCTGGAGAACGGCGAGCAGCAGCGGCTGCTGCTGGAGGAGGAGCTGTGCCGGCTGAAGGACGCGGCCGGCGAGGCGGCGCGGCGGCGCGCGGAGCTGGAGGAGGAGCTGGCCAAGCTGCGCGCCGAGGTGGAGGTGCTGCTGGAGAGCAAGGCGCGCGCCGAGGAGGAGTCGCGCAGCTGCAGCGAGAAGTCCAAGCAGCGGCTGGAGGCGGAGGCGGAGCGGCTGCGCGAGCTGGCCGAGGAGGCGGCGCGGCTGCGGGCGCAGTCGGAGGAGGCGAAGCGGCAGCGGCTGCTGGCCGAGGAGGAGGCGGCGCGGCAGCGCGGCGAGGCGGAGCGCATCCTGAAGGAGAAGCTGTCGGCCGTGGCCGAGGCGTCGCGGCTGAAGGCGGAGGCCGAGATGGCGCTGACCGAGAAGGAGGCGGAGAACGAGCGGCTGCGGCGGCTGGCCGAGGACGAGGCGTTCCAGCGGCGGCTGCTGGAGGAGCAGGCGGCGCAGCACAAGCAGGACGTGGAGGAGCGCATCGCGCAGCTGAAGCGCTCGTCCGAGAGCGAGCTGGAGCGGCAGCGCGCGCTGCTGGAGGACACGCTGCGCCAGCGGCGCCAGGTGGAGGAGGAGATCCTGGCCCTGAAGGGCGGCTTCGAGCGCGCCGCCGCCGGCAAGGCCGAGCTGGAGCGCGAGCTGGGCCGCATCCGCGCCGAGGCCGAGGAGGCGCAGCGCAGCCGGGAGCGCGCCGAGCGCGAGGCCGAGCGGCAGCGGGCGGCGGCGGCCGAGGAGGAGGGCCGGCGGCGCGAGGCCGAGGAGCGGGCGCTGGCCATGGCGGCAGCCGAGGAGGAGGCGGCGCGGCAGCGGCGGGCGGCGCTGGAGGAGGTGGAGCGGCTGAAGGCGACGGTGGAGGAGGCGCGGCGGCAGAAGGAGGCGGCGGAGCGCGAGGCCGAGCGGCAGGTGCAGCTGGCGCGGGAGGCGGCGCAGAAGCGCGTGGCGGCCGAGGAGAAGGCGCGGCTGGCGGCCGTGCGCGAGAAGGAGCGCGAGCTGCAGGAGATGCAGCGGCAGGAGCAGAGCGCGCTGGAGCGGCTGCGGCTGGAGGCGGAGGGCGCGCGGCGGGCGGCCGAGGAGGCGGAGGCGGCGCGCGGCGGGGCCGAGGAGGACGCGCGGCTGTCGCGGCAGCGCGTGGAGGAGGCGGAGCGGCAGAAGCGGCGCGCCGAGGAGGAGGCGCAGGCGCAGGCGCGGGCGCAGGCGGAGGCGGAGGCGCTGCGGGTGGAGGCGGAGCGGGAGGCGGAGCGGCGGGCGCAGGCGGAGCGGGCGGCGCTGCGGCAGAAGGAGCTGGCGGACGCCGAGATGGAGAAGCACAAGCGGTTCGCGGAGCAGACGCTGCGGCAGAAGGCGCAGGTGGAGCAGGAGCTGGGCCGGCTGCGGCTGCAGCTGGACGAGAGCGCGCAGCAGAAGGGCGTGCTGGACGAGGAGCTGCGGCGGCTGAAGGAGGAGGCGGCGGAGGCGGCGCGGCAGCGGGCGCGGGCGGAGGAGGAGCTGCTGCGGCTGCGGGTGCAGCTGGAGGAGCTGGCGCGGCTGAAGGGGCTGGCGGAGGAGGAGAACAAGGCGCTGGCGCTGCGCGGCGAGGAGGAGGCGCGCAAGGCGCTGGCCGAGGAGGCGGAGCGGCTGCGGCGCGTGGCCGAGGAGGCGGCGCGGCTCGGCGTGGAGGCGCAGGAGGCGGCGCGGCTGCGGCAGCTGGCCGAGGACGACCTGGCGCAGCAGCGCGCGCTGGCCGAGCGCGTCCTGCGGGAGAAGATG